GATAATATGGGAGGCTATGCGTGTGTTGGGTGGGGCAGGGTGTGTATGAGAAATCTTTGTACCTTCCCCTTAATTTTGTTGGGAACCTAAATCTACTTTAAAAAATAAAGTCTTAATTTAAAAAAATAATGAAGCAAAAATTTAAAAACTCTATCCATACTGGTTTTAATAATAAGATTATGTGCTGGGAACTTACCTATTTTTCTGAAGTGTGTAGCCTTAGATTTCCTCTGAGGGCTAATCATATAATTTGGAGTTAATTCAATCTCTAAGATTCTCTGAGAGTTATAAACTAAGAATATGAAGGAGTTGGCATATTTAGCAATGACGGAGCACCCTAGAGTCTTTAGTTTGAAGGATCACACTCGACCTATTTCATCACAATCAATAAAAGTGAGTTGAATAAATAAATCAGCACACATTGTGATGGGCTGAATTGTGCTCCCGCCAAATGTGTATGTTGAAGCCATTACTTCTAGTACCTCAGAATGTTACTATGTGGTCAAGTCCTTCAAAGAGGTAATTAAATTAAAATGCGATCATTAGGGTGGCTCTTAGTTCAATACGACTGGGATCCTTATAAGAAAAGATTAGGACACAGAAACTTACACAGACCAAGGGGCAACCAGATGAAGACACAGTGAGAAAGTAGCCACCTGCAAGCCAAGGAGAGAGGCCTCAGAAGAAACCACCCCTGTTGACGTCTTGATCTTAGACGTCCAGCTCCAGAAGTGTAAGAAAATAAATTACTTAAGCCCCACAGTCTGTGGTATTGTGTTATGATAGCCCTAGCAGACTAATATATACATATTCTATTTGACAAGCCTCATAGTTGAATTCAACAATCATGTACTGAACCTTCACTGTACCATTTTACTGTGCTCGATGCCAGCTGGATGAGTAAGGCAGAGCCTCTCTTCCTTAAGGGCCCTCTAGTTCAGTGAGGCAGACAAACATGGTGATGAAGAATGATTCCACACAGACTCAGAAATGTATACGCACTATGAGCTCATATACTTTACCTAACGGAAAGTTATTCTGGGGCACAAACTTAGCACCTGGCCAAACTACCATTGTTTTAACAAAGGCTTTTTAGTTGTAAGTAAGAGAAACCAGCACAAAGAAGCTCTAAGTAAAAAGGGGCGAGGAGGGCTTTTTTGGAAGCCACAGGGCAACTTCTTGGTAACACAGCTGGGCCACACGAGCACTGAAACCAACTCTTGGAGAGTCATCAGGAATCAGTTACTCTTCTCTTTGCTGCCACGTGATTTCTCATCCTTGATCTCTCTACAGGTCTGTTTTCTTCTCATTCTCTGTCGTCCAGTTGCTTCTCTGTGGAAATTGACATTTCCCCAACCCCAGGTCCATGACACTTTCCCAGCCCCAGCACCACTAACCAACTGGCCAGTGACTTATCCCCCAAGATCTGGGAGAGAGTCTAGTGGTCCACTTGGACCAGAAGGCCACCCCTTGTCCTATTGGCTTTGGTCAGAGTGGCTGGGAAAACAATACACACATGGCCATGGGAACTGGAGAAGGAGGCAATTATCAAAGAAGGGAAGTGTACACAAGGCAAATATCCTGACAGTTTCTTTTTACAAGCGGCAAAGTAGAATTCAATGATAATTGAAGGGAAATTCATTCCATCCATCTACAAGTGCATCTATTTGCACTGATTTAAACTTGTGATTTTCAGACCTGGTTGCACATCAGAGTCACCTGTGGAGTTTCAAAAACATGCCAGTGCCTTGTTCCCACTTTTTACCTTAACATCAGAATCTGTGAAGTTGGGGCCCACGTAATCACTGTTGTGGCCTCTCCCGTTGCGGAGCACAGGCTCCGGACGTGCAGGCTCAGCGGCCATGGCTCACGGGCCCAGCCGCTCCGCGGCATGTGGGATCCTCCCAGACCGGGGCATGAACCCATGTCCCCTGCATCGGCAGGCAGACTCTCAACCACTGCGCCACCAGGGAAGCCCCCCACATAATATTTTTAAAGTTTTTAAGCACTGCAATGATCCCAGTGTGCTGCCAAGGTTGCAAGCTTCTTGTTTAGACTTCATGCCACTATAATTTAGACTTACGATTTTATGGTTTCATATCTTATTCTTTAATACTTAAAAATATTTATTTATTTGGCTGCGCCAGGTCTTAGTTGCAGGACACAAGATCTTCGTTGCGGCCTGCAGGATCTTTCTTTTTTGTTGTTGTTGCTGCATGCAGGCTGTTAGTTGCAGCATGCAGGATCTAGTTCCCTGACCAGGGATCGAACCTGGGTCCCCTGCATTGGGAGCACAGAGTCTTAACCGCTGGATCACCAGGGAAGTCCCTTCGTATATTATTCTTAAAAGATGTGATTAAGTTAGGAATCATGTGCCTCTGCTAAAAGTTATGGAAAAATCATCATTGTATTTTGGGGAGAGAAGAGCTTCCTTCAGGGTGGGGTAGTATTAATTTGAAGGTACCTTTTTGTTTTATTTTTAAAAATTTTTTATTGGAGTGTAGTTGATTTACAGTGTGTTAATTTCAGGTGTGAAATGTAGCTTTTTACATTTCTGTATGATTAGGCTCTGAAACAAAGTTGATCATCAGGTTCCTTAGAATGTAACAGTCTTCTGGAAAAATAAGAAACGTAGTATCTCCAACAAATCTTTGCTGACTCTTCAGTGGAAACCTTCAGTGATCTTCCCAGCTCTTCTCAGATCCCTTTTTACTGTTTCTGTGCTCCCTTATCTCAACTTCTATGTGCTATTGCTTCCAAATGCCAATACCTAGAACTTTCGTAGAACTTTCCTTGGGCTACTAAAGTTTTGTCTGCCCAAGAAAAGAGCAGAAAATGCCTGGGAGTTCACTCCATCACCCCTGCCCCCAGGCCCAAAGCCAATGACAGACAGGTGTGAGTATGCCGCCACCAGGCTCCCTTACTAACGAACAAATTCTTAGTGTAGGTTTCTGTCAGTTTCCCTGCAGTGTGAGGCTATAACGATTGTTTTTCCTTAGCTATTTCTGTTGTGAGTACTTCTACAATAAACACGTGTTCACAAATCCTTATCTCAGGTATGTTTCAGGAAAACCCAATCTAAGACATTCAGCTTTATGGAATTTTATACTTTCTGTCTAATATTAAAATTCTACATGAATTTTAATAATACTGTTTATAACTTTTCAGACAAGGAGCATCAAGGTTTTACTTATTCCTGCTCTTAGGAACAGAGTAGGGAAGTCACTGAGTCACTGGGAAACTCCCAGAAACAAAGAGTTTGGAGGAACAAACATAAGTGAGCAGGGAGGAATTGGTTGACATTTGTAAGCAGAGTGGAAATAGATTAGACAGGTTGGTGTGAGTTGATGTTGGGGAATCTAAAGAGGGATAGTCAGAACAAAGAAAAAAGAGTGGTGACACGAATAGAGGCGGGACGTGACTTTCAAGTCACGTAAAAGTGCGCTGTGTAATAAAATAGAAAACAGCTTGGCGTTTCCTGGGGCTGCAGGTATGACAGCTGCCACAAGGCAGCGCTCTGATTACACTCACTTTGACTTCCAAGTAGCTTTCCCTTTTCCCACTCTGCGGTTTTTAAGGGCTCTGACTAGAGGTCTGTCACACTCCAGCCATAGTCAGCCAGCCTATTATTAGTGCCAAGCCCTCCTCCTGGAGCAATGACAGTGTAAATGTCAGCAATGGCAGAAAGGGGACAAATACAGCTGTTGTGCATTTTAGAATAATTGCTACAGGCCATTTGGAGACAGCTTTATAACAACAGCCCTTATACAGACTTATACAGTATTTCACTTTTCCGTTTTATTCTCTCCTCAACGCTTTTTAGCACGAATTTATTAATCCACTCAACTCATGTGAATCTGGGATTATCTGCCTCCCAATTTTACGCAGTGAGGCTTGCAGCTCCCTGGAAGGTACCATGCTCTTTCTTTTCTTTTAGTTTTTATTGGAGTATAATTGATTTACAATGTTGTGTTTGTTTCTGCTATGCAGTAAAGTGAATCGGTTATACATATACATATACCTACTCTTTTTGTAGATTCTTTTCCCATATAGGTCATTACAGTGTATTGAGTTCCCTGTGCTATACAGTAGGTCCTTATTGGTTATCTATTTTATATATAGTAGTGTGTACATGTCAATCCCAAACTCCCAGTTTATCCCTCCCCCCTGACCTTTCCCCTTTGGTTAACCATAAGTTTGATTTCTATGTCTGTGACTCTATTTCTGTTTTGTAAATAAGTTCATTTGTATCTTTTTTTAGATTCCACATGTAAGTGATGTCATATGGTATTTGTCTTTCTCTGTCTGACTTACTTCACTTAGTATGATAATCTCTAGGTCCATCCATGTTGCTGAAATGGCATCATTTCATTCTATCATGCTCTTTCATCTCACCGTCCAGCCTTTTCACAGGCTATTCCTTCCGCTCTCCTAGTTCTCTCCTCACCTACCTATCTTTACCCAGCACAAATGTCACTTGTGAAAAGCGTGTCCTCACCTCACCCCAAATCTGGGCTCCATTTTTTTTTTTACTTCTATTTTCCCCCACTTCACTCATCTGCTGACATTTATCTCATTGTATTCTAGGTGTTTCTTACCTATTACCTCCATCCCAATTTCCTTGAACTCCCTTATCTTTATATCCCCAGTGTCTACCACAATTCTCCACAGAGTGAATGAATGAATGAATAAAGCAAGCTCTAAAAGATCAAAGCCCTTGCCCATCTTGAGTGCACAGCAGAGATAGAAATATCCAGAAATTTAGACCAAACCAGAATCTCTTACTGGTTTCTGAGAAATATCCAGAAATTTAGACCAAACCAGAATATCTTACTGGTTTCTGTGATTGACCATATCCAGGCCTCTCCACAGAAGACTCCTAAATGAACCTAAATGGAAAAGTCCTGGGCTCTGCGGTGAGCCACAGGTCACGAGAGATTCCCCAGTGCTGGCACAGCAAGACTTGAAGGCTCATGATCTGTGCAGAAGGCCTGACCAGCATGGCATCGTGAGTCAGACTCTTCGCTTTACACTGCAGTCTAAGCAGCTTCCTGGAACTGCTGTCACTGAAGAAATACACAGAAGCAACAAGCCCCCAGGTCTACATTCCTCTGGCTTCTGGGGGGACATCTCACTCCTGGTGATCACAAGACCCCCAAATTTTAGGTACCCTCTGAGAGACTCAAAGAGAGGCATGAACTTCCTGCATTTGTGTCCCATGTTTATCCTTTTCACGGCTTGCTGGCCAGTTCTGGAGCAAACTAAATAAAAGCAATCTTGATCTGAACCCAAGTCATTATTCTCACCATCCTTTGTGAGATGGGTAGTGAAAGGTTAGCATATTATATGTGGTTGTGAAAAAGCTAGGCCCTTCCTGGTGCCATCTTTCCTGCATAAACCAAAATTCTTTTCTGCCTATTTGTTAATTCCTTCCTTCCTCTCCTCTTTTCATCCTTCTCAAACATTTAATGAGCACTCACTAGGTACCAAGCTCCGTGCTGGAGATAGAAGGATGAATAAGATACAGTGCTCTGCCTTCAAGGAATCCACAGAATTCTGGAAGAGATAGGAAAGTAAACAAATAGTCATAATACACTTGAATTAAGTGCCATAATGGAGGTGTCTATGAAACCCTGTAAGTTCAAGGGAGTGGGCCCTGGGGTGCTAGTGGGTGTTTAGTAACCAGCTGGTCGGAGGAGACCTGATTTTTAGTGTTTGCTGGTTCCTGTGTGGCAGATACTTCCATCATGGCTGATTTCAAGCTACTAACCTGAACACAGAGTTGGGAAGGGACGTACACAGTTGCCCCCCCCACCCCCCTTTTTTTTTGGCTGTGCAGGGCTGCCTTTGGGATCTTAGTTCCCTGACCAGGGATCGAACCTGTGCCCCCTGCAGTGGAAGCACAGAGTCCTAACCACTGTACCACCAGGGAAGTTCCCACAGTTGGCCTTTCTGATGCAGTAAGAGCCAGCTCCAGCATACCACCATGATTTCTGCCTTGTAAGATCCTGAGCAGAGATTTTATCCCTGCTGTGCCTGGGCTTCTGACCTACAGAACTTTGAGCTCACAAATGAGCTTTGTTTTAAGCTGCTAAGTGTGTGGTAGTTTGTTATGCAACTATAGAAAACTAAACAGAGCCTACTGTACCCTTTTTACAGTTGTGAAAACTGAGGCTTAGAAACAGTAAGCAATTTGACCAAGGCCATGAGCAGCTAGCAAGTGATGGAGCCGGGAGGCAAAATGAGGTGTGTCTGACTCCAAAGCCTGGAACCTTAGCTCCTATGTTCTCATGGAAAACAATGTCACATAACCACGAAAGGCCAGGGTCATGGCAGACCATATTTCTTTGTTTATTTTTAGGGACCAGAAAATGTGCATTATTACTAAAAAATGAAATCCTGTGCCAGGAAAAAAAAGCAAATGTTCAATGTAGCTTTGGACTTGAAGTGGTACCCAAGTGGTTACCTTGATATTTATTTCAGAAGGCAATGCTATGGAATAAAAGAAATTTCATATGGCACTCTACTCATTAAATATTTGAGTTTGGCTAGAGTGTCCATTTCTGCTTTTCTCCTCCAGCCTGACCAGATGTGCTCAGAAAATTTGGTTCTCCCTGAATATGTACATCTGTCAAAATTCCTGTCAATTTTAGCACTACTGCCAAGGGAGTGAACAAAGAGAGTTAGCGATTAACTTCAAACAACTTTGTTGGAGAGGAATAAAGATATTTAAGGCCTATTTTGTCAACTAATTGCATTTGCATATTTATGGGATTTACTGACATAGCAGCAATTAAAAACTGTTTAGTAGTCCTAAAGGACACATAACTCAGTCGCTGTTTGCATAATAAACACTTCCTTATTATGTTTGCATAATAAACACTCTCCCCCTGCTTCTTCCAAAAAACCGGTCCAAGAGGTGTCACATCTTACTCGGAAATAATGGAAAATCAAAGTGCAAGGGCTCATGGGAATGTGGAGAGGGGACTTCTGAAATAAATATATTTCTAGGTACTCTCTTAATGTTAGGCCTGGCCTGAACTGCTCTCAGAGAACGGCAGATTCAAACTTCAGATTAATAAGTCTTTTTTTTCCCAGGTGATATTTAAGAAGCCTGAATGCTTATCCCCTGACAATTCCATTTTCTTTACTTTAATACCCTGACCTGTTTCAAGGGTCTGAACAGGGTTCACCCTGCATTCATCCTTCCTAAAGAGATGTCTAAGGGGGATGAAATCTTTGACTAATGGATTGCAAAAAATAATGTGAGTAAACAGTATTGAATTTAAGGAGTTGAGAAGAGATGGTTTTCATGGAAAATTAAAGGTTGAGCAAGGGACAGACACCAAATGTAAAGGCATTGAGTATATAAACTAAACCTAGACAGGACAGTAAGGTTGGGAAAAGAAAGCTCTGAGCCATCTGGTGGTGCAGAGCAGGGCAATCAAGGGAAGATCAGGAAATATCTGTATATAAACTACTTTGAAGACAAGTCACTCACACAAACCTTTCTTGTCTTTGCAAAATTCATCAGCCAATAAAGAGCTGTAATGGGCAGGATCACCAGACTGTTGTTAAATTAGCTAATGAAGGTCGTATCGTACCTGTATTACACGTCATTAGCAGTGGCCTTCCAGTAACAGATGGGTATATGAGAAAGTGAGCCAGAAGGGAGGGCAAGCGTGTCCCAGGAGGTTTGACTTAGAGTCATGGCTTACTAACATGTGTGGCAAGAAGATAATGTTGATTACCATCTCAATTAAAGCTTTGCATAAAGGCAAGCTTCTGTGCTCCCTGCCCATAAAGAAAAAAGGTCTGCTGCCTGCAGCTTGCCTTTCTCCTGTCCTAATTCATCTCATAGGTAGAAGCCAACAATTCAAAGCATTGATGGGAAGTGATGGGATTTTGACGGCCGGATCAGTCCTTCATGATCTTACCTCTTGATGAAGCCCCATTTATTTTTCTACCCTATCTCAAGGGTATTTCTCAAACTTTCCATAACTTTGTATCCAATTTCCTCTACCAGGTTATATTTCTTTTTTTACTTTTTCTTCTGAAAAAGTAAAAGTATTTTCAAATGCCCAGCAAAGCTGGAAGCACAGGAAGTAGAAAGAACTCTCCACCCCCACCAGCCATGTGAGAGTTTGTTGCCAACATGATGACCCTTCACCTGTGATTACTTAGAGCATTACTCTTACACACAAGGACATTATTTTACATAATCTCAATACAATCAAAATAAGGAATTCAACATTGCTATATCACTACCATCTGATCCACAGAACGCATTTGAGTTTCACCAGTTCTCTCCAAAATATTCTTATGACAAAAGGATCCACTGCAGAATCACACATTGCACTGAGTTGTCATGCCTCTTTAATCTCCTTTTGTTTGATACAGTTTCTCAGTCTTTCTTTAACTTTCATATCCTTGACACTTTGGAAGATTACATGCCTGCTGTTTTGTAGAATGTCCCACAATACGGGGTTTCCTACTGGATAGATTCAAGTTATGAGTTTTTGGCAGGATGATAACAGAAGGGCTGCTGCATCTTCTCAAATCTCGTGGTGCACAACTCCCATAACTGGTGATGCTAATTTTCATCATTTGATAAAGGTGTTGTCTGCCAGGCTTCTCCACCGAAAGATTATTAAAAATTAATTAATTAATTAATTTTTGGCTGCGTTGGGTCTTCTCTAGTTGCAGCTAGCGGGGGCTACTCTTTGTTGCGGTGAGTGGGCTTCTCATTGCGGCGGCTTCTCTTGTTGCAAAGCATAGGCTCTAGGCGCACGGGCTTTAGTGATTGTGGCGTGCGGGCTCAGTAGTTGTGGCACACGAGCTTAGTTGCTCCGCGGCATGTGGGATCTTCCTGGACCAGGGTTTGAACCTGTGTCCTCTGCCTTGGCAGGCAGATTCTTAACCACTGCGCCACCAGGGAAGTCCTGAAAGAGTTTTTTAAATCTTTGTATTTAATAAGTATTTTGTGTTAATGTCCTGCTCCTCATCAAACTTTTGCCAACTAGTTTTTATCACCCATTGATGTTTCTTTTGTGAATTAATTATCACTATAAAGATTCCATTATTTCTTCTACATTTATTAGTTGGCAATTCTAATTTAAGGGAAAAGTTTTCTCTTCTTCCCATTCATCTCTTTATTTAAATCAGGATGGCCTCATGGATTGTTATTCTACTTCATGAGTTATAATTCTTTGCCATCATTATTGATTTTCATGCTTGAATCATCACAGATTTGGCCAGTGGGAGCCCCTTCAAGCTGACTCTGTCCTTTTATCCTGTCCGCATGATTCTTTTAGCACTTCTTTACTTTGTGATACAAGGAGGCATTCTAGGCTCTTTTTCTACTTTCCTGCCCTGGCCCTGGCATCACGCATTTCTCCATTTCTTCCTTGTAGGTATGTATGCTATTTAGAGACCAAGATCTGGGTGTTAGGTGTACTTATTTTTTTGGGCTGTTCCTGCTCTCAGGCACTCTAGTGGACAGAGCTAGGAACATATGCATGTATGAACACATGTACACACACGCTTACATTTGTATGTATTTCTATATTTAGCTACATGTATCGAAAACCAAGAGTTCACTCTGATACTTCCAAAACCAACTCAACACTACAGGGTTCATCCTAGTTTTCTCCCTTTCCATATTTGTAACTGCTTTCACCAACATCTATATTTTACTGGTAGATGAAAATTAAAAACAGAGCTTCATGGATTCTAAACAAAGGGACCAAATGATTAGGAGAACAGGGATCAGGTATATACTTCCCCTCCCTCAGTCTGTTGTGCGAAAACTTATCTCAAACCTGTTCCTCTACATTCCATCTATAGTAAAAAGCGGGCAGATGTTGGAAATGGTATGAAATTTAATTTTTGTTTCTAGAGCATCTAGGGGTCTACCAATGCAAGATAGAGTTATGTGGAATGATGCATCTTTTTCCTTAATAATGAAAAGTGAATGGGGCTCAATCAAAAAGTGAAAAAAAAAACCCCAGTTTTTATTGAGTGATGTTAAACTTTAGTAGTTTTCATCTTCAGTAAGCCTAGACGCATTCTCTCTTATGTAGTTACTTTCTGAATTGTGGGCAGTGAGAATTTAAGAAGCATTTCTATTTATCAAAAATCGATGTTTCTTTTAATGAAAGGGGCTTAGGAGAAACAAAAGACACTCTTCCCACTGTACTGTTAGCAGTTGCTCTTCATTTGACGATACCAGGTTTCCATTAGCTTAGTGTAATTCAAGAGTCCAATAATCATAGTCAAATGTTGACGATGTTACTGCATAAGTCTGATTTAGATCAGCTATTTGGATCTCAATTATTAATGAAATTAGTGTCCTATATGCCAGCAAGGGCACTGCCTTAGGTAAAGGCTGTAAAGGAAATCACATTAGTGTGGAATTTCCCCTGCTTAGGGGCTCCTCTTAGATTACATTATTCACTTAGCTATCTCCTGTCAGGGAAATTGAAATGTTGGCCAAGATCTGATCCTGGGGCAGAACCAAATGGAGAAGTTAAGAGGTATTGCAATGGCATCAATTCCAAAACATTTGTGTGGTGCTGGTACTGCCTTTGGTCCCATTTAGTGTTTACAAAATAGCACCAGCGAGGACAGCATAAACTGGCAAACAGAGAACGGAATGGAAAGGAGGTCTTTTAGGAAAGATTGAGCGGCATTCCATCCAATAGGCAAGTTTGTGTTTCTCATCTTCTGGAAGTGCCTGGGGAACACTGGCAAGTTCAATGGCCCCTCTGTGGCCCTTGGTCCTGGTGGCCGCCTCAGGTGAGTCCTTTAATGATATTACTAGGCTTTGAATATTAACGCCTAGAAGCTAGAGACATGGTTTTCTACGTTGTGCTGTATAACTCGTCACAGGTGTTTGTTTTTATTTACCATCTGTAAAATGTCAGTCCTGTGAAGCTACACGGAGACCAACAATTTGTTACGACTTTGCTCCTACAATTATAGATGTATATACACATAGAGTCACACAGTGGGGCTTTACACATGGCTGAAAATATGCTCTGAAATGTTATAATTGTCTGATAAATTTCTGCTTCCTTAGAAATCAAGCTTTCTTTACAACAATTGACATTGAGGGTTTGGGGTATTCTCTTTCAGATTTACTTTTATGTCTGAATAGTACATTTTTATTATCCAAAGTAGTCTTGGCTTTTAGTAGCCCAGAGAGTTCGTTCCTTGGATCCATCATAGCTACAGAAACCTGGATGTCATTTTGGTATTAGGGGCTTTACATCCAGCCATACAAAGTCTGTGTAGGTGATGAGTGTTTCTCTAAAGACGAGCTCTATAAACTTGCATGTTTTGAGTGTACAATTCCCCTTAAAAATACTTTAGAAACTAATATATATATATATGTATATATGTTTTCTTTCCCTAAATTTCTGAAACTAAAATTCCATAGTGCCAGTATTAACTCTACTGAATTGAGCCATTTGAATAGGATACAATTGGTTCTTAGAAAATATACACAAATCAAAAATTTATGTTTATGCTGGTGTTTCCCAACACCCCACTTTCTTGAGGGTTCTCCTAGAGCTCGTATCTGAATTTCCATGTTTTAAAATATAACTGAAAGTGGAATGAGTCAATTACGGAGATGAGGAAGGAATTTGGTAGCCAAGCAGCTGGCAATGATTTTTTTATTGGATAGAGAAGAAAAATAGCCACTTATTATTAAAGAATAAAAATGCTGGGTGTTGAACTTAAAGGATAAAAGCATATCTTAATTATAAAAATGAAAACAGAGGGAATTTCATTAAATGTCAAATGGGTTTCTTAGCAGAAAATAATTGTGAACATTAAACTAAGTAAGATAAAATAGAATAATGAAGGTTTGAAAACAGAAGAAATTCTTCTTCAAGATTTCTCTTTCTAATGTTTTGCATTATGCTTGATTTTTGCTCTAACTGTGGCAGAGAAAGTGTTTTAATAGTGTCTCGTAATCAGTGCTTGACCATAAATCATACTGAGAACATTTGTTGCAGAAAAATTCATCCTTTGGAATTTTTACTGGTTTAATATCAAGATGATTTGTAAACATTAAAGCCCTGAACCAACCACCAATTCACCGCTGCACCCAGGAGACAATGTGCTAGGGTAGGGGGCCTGGATTAGAACCATCTAGGTCCTGCCACTCTACTCACCAGCCACGTGACCCCGGGCAAGTCAATTAACCTCTTAGAGACTCTGTTTCCCTATAAGTTAACTGTTTATTTTGTATATTCATGAAGACCGAATAAGATAGCATTATGAAATTGTAAGCTACAATGCAAATGTAACATATCACTGACCTGAAAACACACAAATGGCAGTCCAGTGGCTAAGACTCCGTGCTCCCAATGCAGGGGACCCAGGTTCGATCCCTGGTCAGGGAACAAATCCCCCAGGCAGCAACTAAGGGTTCACATGATGAAACTCAAAGATCCCGAGGGCCGCAACGAAGCCCCGGCACAGCCAAATAAATAAATATTCTTAAAAACCCCACAAACACAGAAAATAACAATGCGCTGTTTCTGTCCAAAAATGTACAACATGCAACTCTTCCTTTTGAAGGGTTACTCACCTAGTATTCTCAGGGAGCCAGTTCAGGGTAGTGCCAGAGTAAGAGCTTGACCTTTGCATCCAGATCAGTCTCGTTTAAATTCTGGCCTCCTCACTTACAAGCTGTGTGATCTTCAGTGGTACTAACCTCACTAGGCCTAGAGTCCCTCACCTGTAAGTGACCCTTCATGGGGCTGTAGAGTACCTTCTTGTAGAAGTTAAATGAGATAATTCATGTAAAGGGCTCTTAGCCCAGTGCCTGGCACACAGCTAATTATTTAATCAGTATTAGGTATTCAGTAGTACCATGCCCCCAAACCTCTGTTTCCTTGTAACATCTCAGATATATGTATTGTTACCAACCAGGTTTCTTGGCCTTCCTTAATCAATAGAAATTGATAAGAGGCCAGACAAGAAGTTCAGGCAAGGCTCTATTGGGACTCCTACTATATAGCAGGGAGGAGTAAAAACAAGTAACAGGTTCCCTTGCTCGCTCCCTGAGGTGGGAGGAGCTGGTTCCTTAAATGGCGTGAGGGTAGGGGTGTGTCCAGGGGTCCAGCCAGAGGGGAGGCTTAGGTGGTCTGCCCACCCCCTTGGTGGTGCTGCGTGCAGGGGCATGTGCAGTACCCTGCTTTTGCTCCCTGCTCTTCAGAAGTGGAAGTTGGGTTTTTTTGGTCTTTTTGTATCTTGTTGTCCATAATTTGCCCTAACTGCACATGCACGCAGTTATTTTTAGTCCCTTTTAGTTTCTTTGTATTTTTCTTCTTAAGGAGACATTTGTCCAGGTGTAAGCACTGCAGCAAAGGGTCCTAGGTCCCAGGTCCCAGCCTGTCTCAGTATCATTCTCTTATAATCCTAAAGGTGGTAGACTCACTAAAGCAAAAAGAGCTCTTTTCATCAAAGTGCCCAGAACATTCTAAGATAGGCATGTGTGTAACTCGTTGAAATAAGGAAAACAAAGGAATAATTCTATTGTATCCTTAACTTTTTAAAATCTCTCTTCACCAAAAGTGCTTCACAGCTCAGTTCCTAACACATTCTACTTTCCAGAAATTTACAAGTGAATTATTTGAAGCTGATTATTATCATTCAAGGAGGCAGAGCTAGTGAGGAATCTTTCCTGGGTCTGTTGATAGTTTACATCAGTGTCTGTTGAAACATCACTGAACTGTGAGTCATTTAGTGCTTGTGTGAATGTCACATTAGCTTTCAAGGGGCATAATTTACTGTTAATTAATGGTCACTTAAATCCTTAATCTCTCTCCTCTAATTGATCTTTCTCCTCAGGCAAATTTGCACTCATAGTAGAAATGTAATTTATTATTTCTTCCCATTTTAAACAAAGAACTCTTACCCTCTGTAGTTTATTTAAGCATACTTCCGTTTGCTTCTGATCTTTCTCCAATCATTGCCTGCTTCTCTTTTGTTCCTATTTCCAGCTTCCAGAACATTCTCTTTTTACCCAAAGACTATGACACATTCTAGAAAGTATGTGTTTATCCATAGGGGACCTATGGATTGTTTCCTAGAAAAGGTATCAGAGGGGAATTTGACTCTCCATGAACAGAGGGTATAGGGAGCACACATTCACTTCTCAGAATTATGTCTTAACTCTGTCTCAAGTGGTTTCCTGTATTGAAACAGGCACATTTCAGTGGTTCCCCAGCTGGGACTTGAATTGGGAGCTTCCAAGGGAGGTAAGAGTGAACTTGCCCAAAGCGAAGTTCTCAGGAAAAGCACCAGACCAGCTTTGCTTTGGGCTCCAGAAATCTCTACCCGCAGCGTCCGCCAGCAAGAAACAGTCTCAGGTAGAGAGATTCACAGCACACTTTTTGACAATCACAGTTCACAAAAACTAAAGATGATGCCTGATGCAAGTCACCCACCTTAGTCCCGCATGCCAGAATAGCTGTTAACACTTCTGGCGTCTTGTCGGGTGAATAGTTAGGGAGTTAAAACGCTAATTAGATTCCCGGTTCAGGTGATAATGAAAGTGAATATTCCACTGCCCACAATGAGTCTGGAATTGCACCTCCAGCACCGTTGTTAGCATTTTGGTCACACTGACATTGATAAATATAGAAATTGCTGACTGCGGCAGCAAGTGACCCAGCATCATTCATAAAGAGATGGGTATAAACAGGATTGTCGCATGGGGAGACGATATCTCATTTACAGTTTCCTGCTGGATCCCGCGTACCTTCAGCAGCTCATCAAAATAACCATCAAAACCGCTGAGAGCCGAGGTGAATTCACACGCAGGACACTACAGATAGATTTCACTCAGGCGCTGTTGGCGGGAGGTGTGCAATTTGCTTCAGTCCAATGACTTAGCGAAGCTTTGAATCCCCCAGGGGCCGGCAAAGCTGGTGAACAAAATATCTTTTTGCAATTCTGAGAAAGCCCTCACAGATTTGTCACTTCCAATTGCTGGTGCTCATTTCTCTTGCTTGCTTTCCCCTGGCCTTCTCGGCCTCAACACCAATCACGGCTCCTCTACAAATCAAGATTCCTGGGTCATAGGAAATGGTTGTTCCCTGGAGCCACAGAGAATTTTCCCAAAATGAAGATCTCATTTTCTGACAAGTGCATTTTAAGGCAGAGTGAGAGAACAGATATATTTTTGAGGAGAAAAATATGAATTGGAATCTCACTTATCCCATTATTCAGAAATCCACACAAATTTTTGTGTTCAACTGGTTTGTCCATGTTTCTGCTTTGGGCTTTCTATGTGATTTTGAATTACGAACAGAAAATCAAAAGAAAAATCCAAAGAGGAAGTTAAATGTTGGCTAAGTGCATAGGAAGTTTTCTCCTATGTACCGGGAGGGGGTGATACAGGAAAAAAGAAAGGATGTTGTCTCCAATATGCAAGATTGTTGTACAAATGGAACTGTAAGTGAAAGTTTGCATCCTCAGAGATGGGGTTGATTTATTTATCTTTACAATGAGATTTCTCCATTGAGCACTTAGACCATCAGCTTACTTTGCTTTTTTTTTTTTTTTTTTGCTTTTTAATTGAAGTATAGTTCATTTACAATGTTTCAGGTGTACAGCAAAGTGATTCAGTTATAGACACACACACACACACACACACATTTTTTTTTTCAGATTCTTTTTCATTGTAGGTTATTGTAAGATATTGAATATAGTTCCCTGTGCTATGCAGTAGGTCCTTGTTGTTTATTTTATATACAGTAGTGTGTATCTGTTAATCCCAAATTCCTAATTTATCCCTTCCCCCTCTTGCCAGTTTGATAACCATAAGTGTATTTTCTATGTCATCAGCTTACTTTAAACAAGTGTCTGCCAATAAGCCCGCTGGTTGGCTGTGAACTTAAGCAGTTCGGATGAGCTGAAAACTATATCCTGCTAGGAGCCACTGAGTCCTGAGCAGTCTGAAGTGTCCTAAAGATGCTAAGTTCTTTTTATTTTCATAAACGATGAAAACGATGATCGTTTTCTTTTTCAGGAATCCTGGCCATAGATACCCCTCATCCCAGGAGTTCTGCTCTGCATCATCTCACCGAGCAGCTATTACAAAAATATCGCAAGGAAGTGAGGCCAGTTCACAACGGGACCCAGGCCACCACAGTATACCTGGATGTGTTTGTCTGCGCTGTGTTGGATGTGGTAAGGACCATCTTACCATCTCCTAGTCCCACCATTCTTTTGTAAAACTACCTGCTGTTTACGCAGGGGTCTAGGAGAAGTTTTATTCTTGAGACTCTCGTTGAGCTGATAGAGAAGTTGTGCTAGGCTCAGCAGTGAGCCTGGGGTAAATATTTATTAGGCAAATCATGCTTTCTAGCCCCTGACTTACAGTGTGAGGGCAGATATAGAAACAGGAATTTCTATATCTAGAAAATGTTCCTAGAAATAGGAATTTCACAGAAATAAGATGTTTTAAGAATTGTGGTCATAGGTCACAGAACATATTTTATGAGCATTGCTGAAACCAAAAATGGTAATAGGTGTTATTTTCTATGGTTCACATTTCTTAGTGATAGTAGCAGGTTTATGAAACAACTTCTACAACTTACTGCCTGAAATTTTAAAAGGGGGAAAAAAGTGCCTTGCTATCCTGAGTTTTTAAGGGAATTTATACCTAAGGTATTTGCTAAGGGTAGTGGGAAGATTTGTTTATTAAAGCACATCTTTCCTACTATGTCTGAAAAATGGGTTGTTGTGGGTATTAAATGAGAAAGTGCATGTAAAGCAGTTAGCAGAGGTCTTAGGAAGCCCTCAGTGATGGCCCGTATAATTATCTCTGCTTCTTCTTTCTTCTTTTTCTTAATCACAAAGTCTTCAGTATCAATAGATCCCAAATTTCTTTTGATTTCTTTTAAAGCAGACTTTACTGAGCTTGTTTGTTAAAGTAGTTTAATAATTGTTTTTCAATTTACTTCTCAAAACTTTTTTTCCAATTGAGGTATAATATACAGATATTGAAATGCACAGTATGAGTTTTGATAATTGCATGCACCCACATAATCCATATCCCTATCAATATGTCAAACATTTCCATCACCCCAGAAAGATCCCCCATTTCCTTCCCAGTCAATCATCATCCCCTCCATCCACAAGGACAACCACTGTTCTGATTTCTTTCATCATAGATTATTTTTGCCAGTTCTAGCACTTCTTAAGAATGAAAATTTACTCTATGTTCCCTACTGTGCCTGGATTTTTCACTCAGCATGTTTTTGAGCTCCATTCATGTTGTTGTGCATATCAGTAGTTTTTCTTTTTTATTGATAAGTAGTATTTGGTTATGGCTATACCATGATTTGTTTATCCATTCTCCTGTTGATAGGCATATGGGTTGTTTCCAGTTTTAGTGTATTATGAATAAAGCTGCTGTGAACATTTCTGTACAAGTATTTTGGTGTATATATGTTTTTATTTCTCTTCAGTAAAACCTAGAAGTGGAATAACTGCCACTTCTCATAGGATAGATGTACATTTAATGAGAAACTGCCAGACTGATTTACAAAGTCGTTGTACACTATACACTCCCGCCCATCAGCTACGAGAGTTCCCATTTCCCCACATCTTCACCAACATTAGGTGTTATCAGTCTTTTTAATTTTAGCCATTCTGGTAAGTGTGTAGGGATATTTCATTGTGGTTTTTCTTTATACTTCCCATGGCTAATAATTAGGGGCTCTTTTTTTATGTGTTTATTGGCCACTTATATATCTTTCTTTGTGAAGTACCCGTTTAAGTCTTTTCCTATTTTTTATTGTGTTGGTTGTATTTTTATTATAGATTAATAGGGATTACTTATATATTCTGGACACAAGTCCTTTGTCATCTATGTATTGCACATGTTTATTCTCAGTCTGTGGCTTGCCTACTCATTTTCCTAATGGGTCTTATGATGGACAGAAATTTTTAAATTTAATGAAGTCCATTTTTTACCAGTTCTTTATTTATGGTTAGTGCTTTCTGGGTACTGTCTAAGAAATCTTTGCTACTACAAGTTTACCAAAATATTTTCCTATATTTTCTTTCAGAAGATTTATAGTTTTTAGCTCCTTAGATTTAGTTCTGTGATCTTGAGAATTAATTTTTGTAATGGTGTGAGGCATAGTTCAAAGTTTTTTGCTGTTGTTTTGTGTTTTGTTTTGTTTTTGCATTTAGAAAGGATTTGTTCCATCACCATTTTTTGAAAAGTCTTCCCTTTCCCCGTTGAATTGCTGTGATGTCTTGGCTGAAAATTAAGTTAACTTATAAGTGTCAGACTATCTGATATCTTGAAATCAGATAGTGTAAGTCCTTGAACTTTGTTCTTCATTTTTAAGATAGTTTGGCTTTTTAGAACCTTTGTACTTCTACATAAATTTTATATTCAGTTTGTCACACTTCATTAAAAAAAAAAACCTGCTGGGAGTTTGCTTGGAATGGTGTAGTACCCACAGAGAAATTTAGGGGAGAATTGACATTTACCAATACTGAGTTTTCCAGTCTTTGAATATGGTATGTCTCTTCATTTATTTGGGTCTTCAGCAGTGTTTTATAATTTTAAATGTAGAAGTTTTATACATATTTCCATTAAAGTTATCCCAAAGTATTTTTGATGTAGCTATAAATATTACTTAAAATTTTAAATGTTCTAGTTATTTGTTGTCATTATAAAGAAATAGGATTCATTTTGTATGTTGACTTTGTGTCCTGTGACCTTGCAAAATTCACTTACTAATTCTAGTAGTTTTTCAGATTAATATTTTCTACATACACAATCATTTCATCTGCAAATAGTTTTACTTCTTTCTTTTTTAGTCTGTGTACCCTTTATTCTTCTTGTCTTATTGCATTGCCTAAGACCTCTACTACAGTGTTAATGGAAGTGGTGAGAGCAGACATTTTTATTTGTTTCCATTCTTACAGAAAAATCTTTCACCATTAAGTGTGACGTTAGCTATAGATTTTTCATAGATGATCTTTATCAGGTTGAAAAAGTCCTCTCCTATTTTCTATGTGCTGAGAGATATTTTAAAAATCATGAATGACACTAAATTACATCAAATTTTTTCTCAATCAATTTGAATGATCATATGATTTTTCTGTTTTATGCAGTTAATGTGGTAAATTATTTTTGATTGATTTTCAAATGTTAAACCACCCCTGCATTCCTAGAATAAACCCCACTTGATCTTGATATATTATCCTTTTTATATATTTCTGGATTTGAATTCCTACTTATTGTAGGTTGCATCTATGTTAATGAGGAGTATTGGGCTATAGTTTTATTTTTTGTAATGTATTTTTCTGGTTTTGGCGTCAAGGTTATGCTGGCTTTATAAAACTAGTTGAAAAGTGTTCCCTCCTCAATTTCCTGAAGGAATTGTGTAACATGGATAATTTTCTTCCCTAATGTTTGATAAAATTCACCAGTAAAACTACCTGGGACTGGAGTTTTCTTTGTGGGAATGTATTTAAATATAAATTCAATTTCATTAACATATATAGGAATATTCAAATTTTCTATTTCTTCTTGTGTCCGTTTTAGTAATTTGTATTTTTCAAGGAATTTGTCTGTTTCATCAAAGTTACAAATTTATTTATTCATAATATTCTCTTTTAATTCTTTTAATGTCCAAAAGATCTCCAGTGATACTGCCTCTTTCATTCCTCATGTTGGTAATTTGTGTTTTCTCTTATTTTCCCTTGACCAATATTGCCAAATGTTTATCAATTTAATTTATTTATTTAAAGAACCAAATATTGGTTTTGAATTTTCCTTATTGTTTTCTATTTCACTGATATCTACTCTTATCTTTATTTCCTTTCTTCTACTTACTGTGTACTTAATTTTTTCTTCTTTATCTTGTTTCTTAAAGTGGAAAGTTATATCATTGATTTTAAACCTTTTTTCTTTTATAATTTTAGCATTTAAAGTTATAAGTTTTCCCCCAAGCACTAATTTAACTGTATCCTATGAAATTTTGATGCATTTTAAAATTTGAGGTAAAAATTATATAGACTGAAACTCATCATTGTTTTAAGATTTATTATTGACTTTATTTATTTTTAGCTGCATCAGGTCTTAGTTGTGGCATGCGGGATCTTCATGGAGGCATGCAGGATCTTTTGTTGCAGTGTGTGGGCTTCTCTCTAGTTGTGGCATGTGGGTTTTCTCTTCTCTAGTAGTGGTGCGTGGGCTCCAGGGCTCCTGGGCTCTGTAGTTGTGATGCACAGTCTTAGTTATCCTGCAGCATGTGGGATTTTAGTTCCCTGACCAGGGACCAAACCTAAATCCCCTGCATTGTAAGGGGAATTCTTTACCCCTGTACCACCAGGGAAGTCCCTGAAACTCATCTGTTTTAAGCCAGTCCCTTCCCCCTAGCCCCAGTCTCTGGCAACCACAGATTTTCTTTTTTCTCCCTATAGTTTTGCCTTTCTAGAATGTCATATAAATGGAATCATATTGTATTTTATTCTTTAGTTTTGGCTTCTTTCACTTAGAATAATGCCTTTGAGAGCTATCAGTGTTGTGTTGTTGCATATGTCAGTAGTAGTATTCTATTGTACAAATGTACTGCAATTTGTTTACTTATTTACCAGTTGTTGGACATGTGATGTGGGTTGTTTCCAAATTGGAACAATTATGAAGAAAGTCACTATAAACATTTGCATACGTTTTCAATTCTGTTGGATAAATACTTAGGTGTGGGATTGCTGTGTTGTATAAGTCTATGTTTAACTTTATAAGAAGCTGCCAAACTGTTTTCCAAAGTGGCTGTGTTGTTTTGCATTCCACCTGCAATGTCTGAGAGTTTCAGTTCCTCCACATGATTGCCAGCACTTGATATTGTCACTCTTTAAATTTTAACCATTCTAGTAGATTTGTCACCACAAAGTAGATTTGTGATATCTCGATGTGGTTTTAAACTTTCATTTCACTAAAAACTAATGATGTTGAACATCTTTCCATGTGCTTACTTGTCAACTGTATATCTTTTAAAATAGAGTATTCACTCAAATCTTTTACCTTTTAAAAAATAGCGTTGTTTATTACCTTATTATTGAGTTGCAGAAGTTCTTTATATAGTTTTGGTCTATTTTTAGATTCTATTCTGTCCAACTAATCAATATACTTCTCCTTACACCAATACACTGTGGCAATT